AATGGTACGCGTTTGGTTGGTCATTCGTATACCAGGAGGTTTTTTGATTGTTAAACGTCCCTTTGGAGTATCCAATAATAAGTCATATCTTTCTGGGAAGTCGATGACGATGGTTACCAGGTTTTAATTGAAGACAGTGAACACCTATGATAGCTATCGCTTAAATCCGAGGTCAAGTGTCAGTGTTTTTTGCCCGAGTGACACAACCTAGGTTTTATTAGCTGCCTGCAGCGTTATGTGGGACTTTTGTCATTCAGGCTCTACCTCTGATGTTGGCATGGTGATGGATGCAGCTCTTGTATCAGTCAAGAGGTTTATGCCAGAAGTTTTGTCCTTGACATAGGATAGGCGACTTCCCGGGCGCCCCTTCCCAAAAGTCGCTACGTGGGAAGAGGTGAATCTTTTCGCCGTCACTTGTGAAGTGGTTTAAGCCAGATGCATAGTTGTGTGGATTTCTTTGATTGTGCGCCAAGCCTCCAGTGATACCAACAGGATTGGTCTGTTTATCTAGTTTGCTTGGGTCTACTCTTTGATCGGGTGGTCTACGTAATCAGCCCTGTGTTAGCTGCATTTGCGCTGATTGTTCCATTAGCGATCTAGCCTCAGCGACTAGTTCTGAGATTATTGGGTCTTTACTCGTACTCATATGGTTCATCTGCTCTTCTGTAAGTCATATCCCCTCCAAAATCCTATTAGCGATGTTTATTGACTGTTCGAGAGGAGAGTCAGGATTCTATGCACCTAGGGCTTGTTGCACATATTCCTGGAAGGCTTGCAGCCAACCCTACTCAAGTACTACTCATAGTACTGTCCCTTATAAGCAGCTGCAGGTGGTGCAATAACTGTTATTTGGACCTATCTCTCACGTTCTCCCCTCGAAGCAATCTTTGTATACGCTGGTTTTCTGACAGGGTAAGGCTTTTTATCACCTCGAACTCAAGCACTATGCATGGCTGCTCTCTGAGGGGGGAGAGGTGAAGTATGAGGTCCGGCACCTCCTTGCTAGTCTCATGAGGTATATGGGGACAAACAAACAAATATCTAGTGGTTTCGCATTTAATGCCACACTGGTGAAAGCAGTACTCCAGCTGAACAGACCACAGTTCTGGATCATGTGGACCAAATTCAGGTAACCTAACTTAGGCAGTTAATAAAGTATCCACCTCCACGGAAGTACTCTTTATAGTCACTTTCTATGTTTGGCTAATAAGATATTATAGTATATAAGAATACTGAACGAAAAATTACGTAGTAGCGAGAAAGCGAACAAATATGGCAAACAACCAAGAGCAAGATAGAGATAAAGACTATAGTCAACGATGCCGGAATAGAAAGCGAAATATGGACAAAAATGGGTTCACCAATTTAGAAACCAACTTTTCTATTCAAGCGATTACTCAGACCACCGATCGATGACCTGTAATATTGTACAAGACTGATGGTGTCTATGAACTTTTATTGGCAAAAGCACGTCAGAGGGCAAGTGAAGCGGTGAAAACCTATTCAAACAAACGGAAGTGCACTCATTATTCAATAAAAAAGCCTTACAAGGCATTAAGAAAATATATTCCGTATTTCGTTACTCGTTCCGTCCTTCTGAGTTCCTCAGTTACTTGAGACACCTGAGTGGCCACATAATGCCTTGTTGTATAGACCCTGAAGACGGACCGTTATGTCCGAAATTCCGCACGCAGAATAATGTATTTCTGGAGACTTCTGACAGGTGACTTGGGTTGATATCTGTCACCGAAAATAAAAGTCAACTTTTCTATAAATAAGCTTTCGGCATTTCTACTTTGGTAAATTTAACATTCAGACACAGGGAAAAGTAACAACATATCTCCTAGCTGCCTTCAGACAACAGCAACTAGTCCTCAGAAAGCTTTTGGAAATATTCAGCTTGATACCAACACTTCACATTGCGAAACACAGTGGTACTAACACTAATTAACTTTGGCTAAAATCACTTACTTAGCGTCCCACTACTAGCTAACGCCTACTGTATGAAAGGAATGATGCGCACAGTCATGTCAAAAGTAGTTGCAAGGGCTCACTGTAGAAGTCGAATGATAAGTGCCTCATCGATTTTGCAGTTCGGGACTTAGGATTGGACCGACAACTTTTATCAGTGGTGTGTCACTTGAATTGCTCAGACGCAGTATAATATGTGACCGCTAGCTCTTCTGGGAAAAAGACTAATCAAAGGTCTCTTTGACCAGATAGTCACATCTTTAATGGATTTGTTCTTAAGGACATCTACATGATTGGCTTGTGTATGCATCACTTGTTGATTTGTTTCCATAGCAAACAAATGCTTCCTTATGCAAATAAACTTGTTCGTCTCACCTCGTTGTGTGTTGTCGCATAAGTAGTAGGCTGGGGAATCAAGCAGACTTTGTATGGTTGCTTATAACGCAGCCTGTTACTAGTTTGAACGTCCTTATCAATCCAATCCAACGTTTGCAGGATGTAGCACAGCGGATTTTGGGGATGGTAGAGGCATAGTGTCAAAGACATTTGAATATAGAGTGAAATTAATTAATTTACCCTCAGTAGTAGGTTCATGTTTCAATTTGAAATGGAAAATTTAAATGTTGCTTTGATTCTAGAGCTCCATTACAAATAACTTTAGGAATACATTATCGATTCAATTTTGTCTTACAAAGATTCTAGAAGTTCACTCGTCAGACAATATACTGGTCTTTCTCCACCTCGTAAAAATATTGTGAACCTAAAGTCTGGAAGAGTCGCCAGCGTTGTAAAACGCAGTTCAGGTAGTTGATTATTAGCAGCTTTCTACAGTAATGTTCACAAACACCGAACACTTGCGTAGCTAACTTAAACAATAATTACCAAGACTCATTTATTTGCAAATATAATCTAAGGAACAGTATATCTTACTCTTAGCCTTGAATCAAATTGTGAAATGTCAGCTGTATTTTGTGGTCAGAAAAGACTGAAGAAGGGATTTCTAAACTGTGCTTTTAACAACCGCAGATGTTAAGAGCAAACGTTGCTCGGTCACATACTCACTGAACAGATATGTGCCTATGAAACAATGACATTGTCTTATATTTGTACCAGTAATCTATTTATTTTAGATTTATTCTCATTTTGGTACTGAGAAGGTGCAACGTTACCACAACCCTGCATGATTTCCTGTCTTTGTGATGGTTACCCTACGCCCTGTTGAGAAGAACAAATCACTTCAGAAGGTCATTTTTCTTAGTTACTAGATGAATGAATTTTTCTATGAAGCAAAATATGTACTCTTCTCACTTACTTTGAGACTTGAAACTGAATATTGTTTTACTAGTTCACATGGTTCTTGAGAATATTTAAAATTTTTGTGGTAGTTACCTATATTCGTGGTACATAGAATATGCCGCCAGCATTGCAGTGCATTTGTGAAATATGCTGTTGCGGGTGAGTGGCTTAGTAACACAAAGATTGCTTTGAACCTGAGATGTCAGCAAAAGATGAAGCCTGCCTAAGTAACTTTTAAAAATCACAATATGTGAAATCGCTATTTAAATTCAGTGAATGCATTCACTGAATATTAACCACATGTGGTTAATGTTCACCTTCCACCTCGGTTTATATTCTATTACTTACTTAATACTCGAGTGGTCAAACTTAAGTCAGTCAGTTTATTATTTCAGGAAACCATGGGTGAAATTCGTCAAATTTCATATTGGACAGTACGAAATTTGATAGCGCAATCTCTGTGATTATTCGCATCATTTCTAACAGAAAAAAGATGGGGAGCACTTTTAGTGCTGAACACGTTGTCCATAAGTTTAGTTTAGGTGAACACTAGTTCTATGAGAGTGGAGTATTTCTAGTTTCCATTTCACTTGTCTTGTTCATAAACTCTTTCTGCTTCATGATTTGTTTTTGAGACGATACACTGCGAAATTGGGTCTTCTAGTAGTTTAGACTACGTTGTGTTACAGACGTCTGTTTCGCAAATAGATCATATATTTAATCAGATTTTTGAAAAGAAACCTTCGAAACCTTTAGGATAACAGCAATTGCAGTAAATGATATTGTAATCAGTTAGGTGCTTATCTCGTATTCTTTGATTAGCATTAAGGTTATAGCACCTAATAGTAATGTATCGTTTGTAGTTACCTATCTTTAATGGGCATATCCCTTTCCAGGTGCAACGAAGTATATTTGTCCTTTGGTTACTAGTATCCTCTTGATCCAAGCAAAACGTAAGACATAATATATAAAAATGAGAGACCTCATATTTGAGTAAGAACAACTTTAACTTTAAGGATTATCGGTGAATAATTTAAGAGTTTTTTAATTGATGTTTCTTAAGCTGAATGTTCACTCACTGGTCAACAGATAGAAGACCAGACGTTAACCTCAAAATTACTAAGATTTTAAACATTTCGGGGCCTTAAAAGTTGATAGATATCATAACTGTTTCAAAGTCATTATTTGGCTCCCTTTTTTGTTGTAGTAATGTCGTTATGTTCACATTTCGATGAACTTGTTTTATAAGTTGTCTTATTGAGACCGCGTTTTAAGTTGCGTAAATATGGTCTCGTTTTTAAACTTTAATTGTTTCTATAAAAACATCATAAGGATTACCTATTTTATGAATAGCTATCAGCTGAATGTAGTGTGCACACAAGACAAACACAACAGCGTTTGAATCGAAAATTTTTAAGCCACTGACTTTTAGAAATTTCATGTCTTAACTAGATAAGTGAGAGTTTTATTGTTACTTTCACTTTTGATAAGTTTGTGTGAAATCTGAGATCTTATATCTGACAATGAACATGTCAATGATTCATACCACTAGAAGAAATTTTAACCTTTCTGCATATAAGTATTACAGCCACATCAAACAACTCATTTATGTCCAATTTGTTGCTTAGTTTTGATTATTATACCCTTATAACTATTCGTAAATTTTACTAACTTCTGTTATTAATGACAAATCCGTTTCGTGTTTAAATTCTATGATCTTTGCTTAAATTTAGTCGTCACAAATGTCCTCACCGACCAAAAGCAATAGTACCTTGGGGACCATGTGTTATGTCAGAATATTCAGCACAGTATCATCCCCATTGTATATCTCCAGAAAGTTCAATAAAGCCACATGCAAATAATTTGTTTGCTAGCAGTGAGCCTGTATCGGATAAAACTACTCATAGGTAAGAAAATCAAGTGAATGTTGATTTTATCTAATCACATTTTCCTAGGATTGATTATGCATCACATGGTATTTGTGAACCACCACGCGTTTATAAGCCATCGCCATATGTACCACCGAAAGGAAAAATGGAAGATACAACATGCTATCGAAATGATTTTATTCCAAAGTTATGTCCTCCACCAGAAATAATTAAACCAGTTGAACGAATGGGATGTTCAGCAAAATTCGATGGAAATCCAACCTATAGAAGTATGATTATATGGTTTGCTTACGCAGCAATATGTTTTATTAAACTATCTAGAAGAGTCATTCAATGACTGGGTAATTTCCTATTGAGTAGTCTGTGATTACAGATAAATCGAATCCCGCCAGGAATATACTGGTATGGATTCTGTGTCAACCCGAGTTTATACTGTAACTTAAGCATTCAATGTAACATAAAAGGGTTCTCCCGAGCAAACATTAACACTTAGTTATTTATTCAAAATACGATGACCTACTGTTTCTAGCTTTTTTTCCTATCTACCTCACAGCGTAACTGCCTCCTACTATCACTGGTAAGTAAGTGTCCTAAGATCTAGCTTATCTGACCTTATCTGCCACAATGTTTCATTAAAGCTTTAGCAAAACCCATTTCAAAATAACTAATGAGAAGGCACTGGATTAAAATTAAACTGTGGAGGTTGTAAAAATTAGGTTTACTTAGAGTTGTACCCTGTCACATTCTGGGGCCAGCTAGGGAACAACTAAGCGCCAAGTAACACTATGAGTCAATTACACACAATTTCGAGACATTTTATAAGTTGGATTTTGAACAAGTGGCTGGCTGGTAACCAGTCCCCCTCTTAGCCTCAAACTCTTGCACCTGATGTCTCACAATGTTTTTCGGGCGTGCTTTGAATGGTGTAAGTAGGCTTCTTTTTGAGTTTATACTGAAGTTACTTTTTACTTCATTGGCTCATTTGATTCTTGTAAGGTGCTGCTATTTTCAGGCCACTGTGTTTCAGATTACTTTGAAACTGTTGGCAAAAAGATAATAGCACAAGACTTAAGCTCTGTTGACTAACCTAATAATTACTTTCAAAATTGTCTTATCCAGCAACAATGTCAGTTAAGGGGATATTCAGATGGAGAAGTAGTCAGAGAACTCGCTCATTTCCATATTTATTTCTAATGCCGCGCATATTCCACTATTAAACAAATCTTTCTCTGTCTTTCATTTCTTACTGTAATAAACTAAAGTTTTGCTCAGTGAATACTTTTGTCTATCCAAAAGGTGATTATCGTCCATGGGATGTAAAACCAAATGTTCCAGTTAAACCAAAATATGAAAAATCCCAACTGCCGAAATTTGATGCTCAACCAACTTATCGCCAAGAGTATATACCACATTGTATGCAAAAAACTGAGAGTTTTAAACCAGTAAATTTACCAAAAGTATACGATGAACCATTTAAAGGTGATACAATCTATCGTACAGAATATGTAACTCAACCAATCCAACCAAAAACACCACCAAAACCACAAACAATAGCTAAATCAACTGTACCATTAGATACTTTGACAACATTTCGTAAAGATTTTACACCAAAAGAAATATGTAAGTTAACTTTTCTATAAAACTGCTTCAAATTTATTATACTTCATTTGAAATATTTTTAAAGTTCATTTGTATATTAAACATTTATTCCTGTCATGTTGCAGAAAAAACGTATGTCCATGTTACCATACATTGAGTGTCAGTCAGTAGTAAGTTCCAGTTGACTTAGATTTTGTATCTAATGGTATTTGTCGCAAAGATTTACTTGTAAAATGTATGAGACCACGTTATCTTTGTTATTTAAGCCTCTATTGTTTGAATACAAAGTTAGAGAGATTTTTAATAAGCTATTCTACTAACAACTTCCCTACTCTAAGACTGATTGATATACACCAATCAGTTGGATGCTCAGAGATGACTGAATTCATTTATTCATTTATTTTTTATTGTGGTCAGTTGGTAGAATTACAAGCAAATGTAGTGAACTGTAAATTGACTGCGGATAGTGCTTGTCGGTTTACACATATTCCCGAAGCATGTTCATCAGGAGATATCAAGTAGTCCGAACATGAAGACCCACTGTACAACTCGCCCCTAAGAAAGACGTGTACATCAAGCTACCCTATATGGGGCATCATAGCAGCTTGATAACCACACAAAGATTGAACGCTGCTATTAAAAAGACCTTTTATGCAGCTAATATAATAATAATTGAGAATGTGAAGCCAATATATCTATCTAAGCCCTTTGAATATGCGAAAGGTGATTTCACATCCCACTGTATTTACCAATTTGAATGTACGTGTGGACACATATAGAGAGGGAGGACTCATCGATCTCTTCAAGTAAGGGCTGGCTTCAAAGCATATTCCTAAATAGCTCCAGAAATAAATAAAATCTTCAGAACCCATTAATGGTGACAACAGGAGACCTAGCTCCTCTATTGCGAAACATATTATGGAGACAGGACATAAAACTGACATTAACACATCTTTTAAACCTATCTATAGAAGGTGTTTGGGGCGTATCCTAAAGTTTGTGGAAGCCCTAGCTGGCAATTAGGAAGTTTAAAGCACTTTTATGAGTTCATCAAAAACAATTCGTCATCACACTAAACCTACCTTCCTTGGTAAACTTTGTTTTGATACCAGTCAGGGCAGTTGTACTATTACCTCTGTTATTTGGTTTAGTGATCGTCATTGTTATTTTGACCTTCAATATGTCCTTTTAACTTGACTTAAGTCTATTTTCTCACCTCTTAACTCTTTATTAATTTTTACGAGTTGATCACGGATTGATATCAGTTAGAGATCCATTGAAAACCAGCCACAGGCAGTGCTGGACAACTGTTTCATCCTAGTTTGGGAATCATCGGCAGTGCGCACCCACTGCCAGGGTTCGAACCTAGGACCTTCCGGTCACAACGCAAGCTCGTATGCCATTCAGCCACTGGGACCCGATTCAATGACTCATGAATTCTAACTTCTACCAATTCGTGATTTAGCACGACCCCAACCATTGTCGCAGGTGGGACATCTGGATGGACCTCACTGGTCACGACTTCTCACTAGAACTCCAGGAAACTCCATCCTGTAGAAAGTTACTAACGAGCATCAGATTAATTTCCTATAGTTTGGTTTGTAAGGGTTAGTTATGTTTGTACGAGTTGATCACGGATTGATATCAGTTAGAGAACCATTGAAAACCAGGGAGTACTGGACAGTCAGCTGTTTCATCCTAGTTTGGGAATCAAAATATTCCTATGACAAGTCCGTGGAGTGTGATCAGATTATTCGAAATGTGTTGAGCAAATACAACACTACAAGATTCAGACAAATTACGTCTTCTTATTGCTTTACATATATATATATATCTTAATTTTAACAGGTCTAAATCCATCTTATAAACCTAGTCAACAACTGGTCACCTCTAAAGATCCAATAAGTAAATTAACAACAAATCGTATCGACTTTAAAGATTGGGGTTGTCAACCACCAGAGCGTACTGCAGCTCCACCATATCAACCAATGCAAGGCGATAGATATCTTGATAGTACATACAGAAGTGATTATTCTGAAGTAAGTTTAATTTTTCAAGAATTTCCATGATGATAATAATTGTATGAGTTAGTTGCATTCATTAAAAACTTTATTATAAAGGAAAATCAGAAGAAACTGTACTGCCGTTTACGTGTTTGTGTGTTGTGTGTGTGTCTGCGAAGAACTACATGTGTATTAGTTAAAAGGGGAAAACCTCCCACATTTTACGAAAAATAGGGGTAAAATAATTTTCAAGCCAATATCTGTTCTTAATTGATTCGAGCTATAAAGTGACATTTAAAATCACGATGCTCCGGGGAATGATTTCGTCTTAATCTGAAATTTAAGAGCGACAAAGTTCATCGAAGAGTCTCTTTTCGACGAAATCATTCACTTAGCGGTACAATCGCATTTATATATAATTATTTTGTGCATGTGTGTGTACATTAGGATTTTCAAGCAAAAATAAAAATTAGTTAGGGTTACTGTTTACTTCATCAAAATGTTTCTGAAATGTGATGAGTAATCAGAATTGTAAGTAGGGGGGGGGGGGGTTAAAATTGGTAAGTATTGGCAAGGGTTGCTTAATGTGAAATAGGATGTTAATGGAGACACGTGTCCAAAAAATGAATTATGTAATAGGTAGAAAGAGTAAATAAAGGGTTGGCTAAGGAGAAGATGTTACTAAGATGTCATGCAAAAATTGAAAAAACAAAAAAAACATTATTAACAAAGTAGTAGAACTTGGAAGTATACCCGAGGTAGAAGAAAGGGGTGGAGAAGTTTCTTTTGTGCGCATAAATCAGGGTTCTATCTATCTCTAAGGCCTCCTCGGTAATGCAAAGTATACGGAAGCTTACCGTTTTCGGGAGGCTTCATTTGACTTTTTAGATGAATTTGAATGAATTCTCCGTGCATACTGAGTGACCAGAGTTGAATATATGTTCAATTATAACACTCTTTATTGATCCACTGCTACCTTTTCATAGCCAAGTGGGATAATGTTCTTAGACTCTTTTAGGTAGAACATACATCGAACAACCTATATATCTCTCTCCACATGAGCAAGTAAATTGGTAGATACACATATTAGTGGTCAAATGCGATAGTTTATCTTCGGAGTTGTTGAAGAACAGTGGGCGGCTTGAGAATATCAATCGTAGTGTAGCAGCAGGGAATGTACTTTCCAGGGATTGGATATTCTTTTCTTTAAGATGTCGGCTAGAAGGTCGCCTTTGAACGCCACATTGATGTATAGCATCTTCTTCGGCGCAGAGACAGGTTGTTCTTTGTTGATTTTCAGCTTTATATGGTTATCTATAAAGCATGATAGATAGCCATTCTCAAGTAGTGTCTCCTCTTCTACTGATTCCCGGCTGCATATTCTGTGGATTCTAGTCGCAAGAGATATTATCAGTTTCCACTGGCGATTGATGAGTACCCAACTGTGAAAGTTTGTCAGCTGGCTATTCCATATAAGCTTCCGATATACTGATCTCTTTAGGGTCCTATCAGTCTTCTTTGTTAGTCGGATGTCCAGAAACGAGATTGTCTCTCCGGTTTCTGCTTCAATTGTAAATTTGATGGAAGCTACTAAAAACTTGAAGGACATTATTCAGGTCACATTTGTTATCACAGATGATGATCTGAAATTGCTCAGTAATAAAGACAGAGAGTAAGAGTGAATACTCACCAATGACACTAGATAACTGTCATTTTTCGTTAAAAAAATGACCGAATATGAGAAATATGCCTTACTGAGTCTCAAAATGTAGCACAATAGCCGTGGAACTCAATGCTATAAACAATATCATCCTATTTCACTGCATAATATGCCTCATAAACAAAGTTATATAGAATTAAACACATCTTGAATTTAATTCCGTACAGGTTGGTGAATCTGAGAAACCTAAGAATTTTAAATTTAAAGAAACAGCTCTTTAGTTTCATCCAAATTCACGTAGTTCTGTGAAACTAGCACTTTTATTGTAGTTTATCATATTCCTTTTTAACAACATAGTATTAGTTTGTGGAAAATTAAACATAAAGACAGATAAATTTAGAACCATTTGCAGAAATGAATCAGAAGAAGAAGAAATGCGAAAGAAGGATTAAGTTCAAGTTGATGGAAAGACTGAAAACTTAAGGATGATTTAGAGGAAAGCATATTTAACACTGTAGTCTCAGAAAATGTCATCAGAAAATCTAAATTTACACGCATCATTCAAATTAAAACCAGGAACTCGTAATAATAATAATGAAATCAATCTAAGTAACAGATATTTTACTATATTAAAAGATTCTCGTAGTAAAATTTAGAACTTACCATATTAGGGACTAATATTTTCTTCGTAATTTCAGCGCGATCACCAGCTAATGTCATCGGTGAGAATTTGTCTTTTAGGGATGTGATTTGTTTTTCATGTTTGACTACGGATTGATATCAGTTAGAGGAAAATTGAAAACTAGCACTGGAGTACTGGATAGCTGTTTCGTCAGCCTAATTTGGGACTCATCGGCAGTACGCACCCACCAAGGCAAGTTAAAATCCCTACAAATCAACTTTTGAGAATTAATCTATTCTCGCCAGTAACTTGCTACAGGAGAGAGTTTCCTGGAGTTCTAGTGAAAAATCGTGACCAGTGGGGTCCATCCTGGCTGAAGTGAGCATAAATTCTCGCCAATGGCATTGGCTGGTAGTTGCGCTAAAATCACGAATTGGTAGAAGTTAGAATTCATGGGTCATTAAGTCGGGTCTCAGTAGCTGAATGATCTACGAGCTCGCGTTGTGACCGGAAAGTCTGGTTCAAAACCCAGTCGGTGCATGCTGCCGATGAGTCCCAAACCAGGCTGACGAAACAGCTGTGCAGTACTCCAATGCTGGTTTTCAATGGTTCGCTAAATGATATAAATCTGTGATCGAACTTGAAAAAACAAATCAGCTCCTGAAAACATCTTTTCTAAGTCAAATCTTCCTAGGTTTTACTGTGAAACATACAACTTTACAAACTAATGGTAAATATACACCAATCATGGTAATTATTGCAGCATACAAATTGTGAAAATAATTGTGATAATAATAGTCATCATATTATTAATAGTAGTAGTAATAGTAATCACTTTATACCAAACAATGATTTTAACCTGAATGGAATTTTAACTCTCTTCATATCGCAACATAATAATTACAGAATCCCTATTCAGGTAGGTAGTTACCTGGGGTTCTAGTGAGAAGTCGTGATCAGTAGGGTGCAGCAGGCCGGGTGTGGGGACAAATACTCGCCGAAGACATTGGCTAAGGGTCGCGCTATGTCATGAATTGGCGGAAGTTGGAATTCATGGGCCATTGGATTGGGTCCCGGTGGCTTAATGGTATACGGGCTCGCCTTGTAACCAGAAGATACTGTGTTCGAATCCCGGAGGATGCGTACTGATGAAGAGTCCCAAACTGGGACAAAACAGCTGTCCAGTACTCCCAGTTGGTTTTCCAATGGTTCTCTAACTGATATCACCTCATGATGAAAAATCCTGTAACCAATCAAACAAATCCCTACAAACCAACACTTGAAAATCCCCACATAATTTACTGTTCGCGCCAACCCATTTGTAAACTGTCTTTTTATTTTTTCTTTGTATACTTCATTGCTAGCTGACATCCTCTATGACATCTCCAAAATTTATAGGGGAAATGAAAAGCAATAAACTGAAATACTTTTAAAATTGTGATTATAAAAAATAGTATGATCTGAGCAAATCTTGAACTCCATCATAGAGTAAATTTATCTGATAAGAACTCATAATCAGTGTTACTGTAGCGACAGAAGACAAGGGCCAGGCAACAGATCGTTTATTGAGAAAATCAAGAGATATTTATAGATTTTTATGAGCATTACTATTCGTTATTGCTAGCAGAAAAGCAACGTCTTTTGGTTGGTTGTTTTTTTGCTGAAGGTTATTCTGTCATCTCTTTGTGGCCGTTTCTTAGACAGTCCAGTCTGTGAATCGTATCTGCCCACGTTAAGTCTGCTCTGATTGGTTGTTGAGTTCCTCAAGGTTAGGCTTTGTTCTTGTTTCTTCTTATGACGAGGATTCGGGACGAAAACATTGACGTAAATTGCTGTCAACCAATTTCGGCTAGCAGACAGCTCTCACCACTATAGGATTATGAACAATCGGTTGTGCTCGAAACATCGTTAGTAAATAATACTGCATCACTGTGTGCTTTTACCAAATAAAATAACTCCATTATGGAATTATGCTTTACAGCCAAAGTATCAACATTCTGTTCTTATATTTTTGGTTATAATCCAATCAAATATCTTGGGGAGAATTTGTGTTTACCTTGTGATTTCTTGGCGCTCACTTTTTGTCGTAACGGAATATTTCTAGATTAAAAAAAACAACAAAAATGATAAGAATAACTTGATGAAAAAGGATATTTTGGTATCTTAAAGTTAATCCAGATCACAAGTCTATATATATATATATATATATATAAGGTTCCTCTTTCTGCTTAGGGGTACGAAGCTTTGAAAACTGATGAATTGTCCATTCCATGTAGGCTTTTTGTATACGGACCTTTTCAGAGAGTTGTTGACATTTCTTCTCAGATGGACGTCGAGGAAGTGGAACATTCCGTCGGATTCAGCTTCAAGAGTAAAGTCATTTTTTTATGGGCATTGTTGAATGTTTGAAGTAAGTTTTGAAGGTCCAGGTTCTCATCACAAATAATGAAATTATCATCAATGTATCTCTTGTGAAGATGGAGGTCAGTGATATTCGATGTTTATAAATGAATTTATTCTTTTTGGATCGATTTCTGTTGTGACATACTATCCATTAGAATAACGCAACATTTTTAAAAATTTCTTTTTATCTCTGGATAATACATCAATTGAAAACAGAAACCAATTTGTCCGCCAACTGTAATTAAACCAATTGAAATACCAAAATGTGATGCTAAATTTGATGATACTACAAATTATCGTAATGATTATGTCCCATGGAATACTAAAGCTGAACATGTCAAAAAACACGCTACTTGGACACCACCAACTATCCCACTGGATAAGGATACAACAAATAGAGTAAGCCATTTTACTGCAATATGATTAATTTTTTATTTTGTTTAAAGAATACTTCGTCATATGAGTTTGTGATGAATATTTGTGATTTTAAGAATAATTAACAACTTTGTTATGTTATTTTAAGTGTACAAAATCTTCAGGTTTTACCACTCATAGGTTTCCAAATTAATCTACAAAACAACTGTAGTTCTTTGATACATTTCTGTTATTAAAGTAAGTCTAACAGGTCATCAAAAACAAAGCAGTGCGAATTCTATATTTCTTCTTTCTATGTGCATTCATCTTCTTTGACTCATCTGAAACGTTATTATTTGCCTGCCTGAAGTTATCATCATATACTCTTGGTTTAGTCATTATATTTTTTAAAGTATTGGTTTTTTTAGGGATTTTGTTTGATTGGTTGGAGGATTTCATCATGGGCTGACATCAGTTAGAGAACCATTGGAAAACCTGGAAGTACTGGACAGCTAGTTGTTCCGTCCCAGTTTGGGACTCTTCAGCAGTACGCAACCACCACCAGGGTTCGAACTCAGGACCTTCTGGTTACAAGGTCAGCTAGCTCGTAAACTATTAAGCCACTGGAACCCGATCCAATGGCCAGCCCATGCGTGTTAATATGTACCAATCTCCCACAGATATCAAATTTCGTTGAAACCACAAACTACTAATACCATAATAAAAGTAGTACAAATTAGTTCAACAAAATACAGTTGTTTACACCGTGTTTCGATTTGTCTCAGTTGCCAACAACATATTTTTCACGTACTATGCTATGAGCCACACCCAATTTCCTAGAGTCAATTAGGTGGACCAGAATTCATACACAGAACGTATTAGCTGAAGGTTAAGTGCTCAAGTCGATGCGCCGCAAACTGCTGATGAAAATGAGTCACAGAACGAAAGTGGTCACCATGGATGAGTCTTTCTGGAGAACGATTGTGAACAAGAATATCGAGCTTGATCTCCTGCGTTTTTACTGGATTTCGTTTTTATTAGCAAGTGTTGAATCTTGATTTTAAGAAAAGGCTAACTTGGTTATCTGGTAAGATTTGTACTTCTGCGTCCATCTGCTATTGTACAATTAGATGGGTGGGCTCTTCAAAAAATAAAATCCCTCGTTCCATTCAACTGATCTTTTTACTATGGATAATCAGGTGGAAATACGAATCATGAATTCTTCAACTTGGAACTTCGTATAGTCAACGAATTTCCATGAAAGACCTAAACATCCACTACAGCTTCTCCTCCAGATAACGGAAATTAGGGTATTATGTAATTCATTACCGTAAAAATGCGTTTTCATTATATTATTCTGGGTCTAGCTTTACACGTTAGCCACATAATCCACTCAACTCCTAATGAAAATAATTCAGTCCTCTAGCTTTCCATCTCAATGTATTTGACCTGACCAATTCACATTTTACATTTTCGAATGTACTTTATCTTTCAATAGAAATTAACGATATCATTTATTTGCTTTTATCTATCGTATCTTGTTTTGGCCTTTATTCATTCATATCTTCAGTTAACTTGTGATTCATGATCATCTCAGTCAACATTACCTGTCAATTCTTACCTCATCAGTCCTTTGCTTTTCTTTCTTTTGTGTTTCAATTTTATACTACTGACCAGTAGTAAGTATTATGAATGTATTTTTCACTTTTTAAAGACGACTTTGTTTGTTATTAAAGTCTAACTCACTTAATGTATTAATGATGTATAGTAATTATCTTTTTAGTTGAACATTATCTGCTTTATATGCTTTACTTATGTACTTGTTATTGTCGAAAATTATTTATTCGTATCCTTTAATTATGTGTCTGGCATTCGCGCTCTGTTTAAATGGCACGTGGATGGCCTTTGACACAGTTCTGTTGTTTTTACTTATTGATACACATTGACTGTGCTTTTTTGACGGCATTCAGCCACATACACTTCACAATCGAGGCCTGTATATTATATTTTATACTTTATGTTTAATATATTACCATATTTTAGACAAATCCTGTGTTTTGGGATTTTACGCGTCACTCAATGTATGGTTTTAATAATCGTTCGATTATCATCCCAACTTTCTTTTGGTAGAAATTCACATTATCACACTTCAATGTTTTCACTGATCATCGAAAAATCTTACTACATAATCACCACGAAGAAACTCGTCCTTATCTTTTATATTCCATATCATAGATATTACTGTACTGCTATGAAAATGAAAGAATTTCCTCCTATGATATCTTTATTTAACATTTTAGTGATGTTTATTAGTTTAAGGTTATCCTCCTTATCTTATTTCAGTGGATTTCCCTCAATAACATTTATACCTTTTTATTTCATCTTATCTTATTTCAGTGTACATGTCTTAATTATCTATGATTTTTATTTAAGGGTTTTATTGTGTCCATTTAGCTACTTATTTTTCTTGATTTTGACCTTTGATATTGCAGATTTTGTAAATCATTTGATAACTCATGAATCATTTTTCGTCCATTTTGTTGAACGATAAGCAGTGCTCAGTTCTAACAAGCTGTACAATACAAGAAATTAGAAATTACAAAATAGGTTTGAACATACTTCTTATTCGTGTTGAGAAGGAGTGATATAAGTATGGGCTGATGTAAGTAGATAACTTATTAAGAGTTAAAAGGATTGACAGTGAGGTTGAAGTCTAATAGTTTGCTTTGTAACAACGAGGTGTGCAACATAGATGGCACTGAAATAAAACCAAGTCGGAAATTAAATACCTAGGTGTCATTCTATCTGCTGATCTTTCCTGGTCGTCTCATATTTTGATGATTTCTAAGAAAATATTCCGTCTTACCTTCTACATCAAGAAGTTAAGACATTCTGGTAAAACCCAACCCTTACTCCTACAATTCGTTAACTCTCACATTCTGCCTATTATTCTCTATTGTTCCCCCTTAGTTTTTCCAGGGCTACTGAAAAAGACTATACCTTATCACGCAGGATGTTAAAGGTTGTCAGCAGGGTAAGCAACGTGCCACTTAATCAGCTTGTTAATATTCTGGTCGACAGGCACATGGACTCATGTGAAAAATGGGCCAAATCCATTTTATCTAACTCACACCACCCTCTTCACTCACAACTCTCCCCTTGCATCTCATCAGGCAAAATCAGAAGGCTATATAGAAAACTATATGGTGGCACTAGGAAGTACAAAAACTCAACCATACCCTACTTAGCTCGTGTTCTGTGCGATAAAGAAAGCATTAGGCCTGATACCTATAACTTATTAAATAGTCAGTAGAACAACTGGATGTCGTCTTTCCAACTTATATCATTTATAGGTACAACATTTTCTTTCTTTCTTTTCCTTTTCTCTCTCTCTCTTTTCCGTTATGAGCCGCTTTTTTTCTTTCTTCCGCTCACGCCAGTAAATATGATAGCACCTACTTTTCTAACACCTTCAAACACTGTTCAACTTTGGTTTTTCTACCGACATGCCATTGTGTTGTTTTCATAATGAACTGAGATTTCCTTAATCTATGTAGAATTCTATTTATTGATAATGTACTAACTGGATGCAATACTGTAGTAAAAATACTGAGAATTCCATTCTGTATCACAAGTACTGTTTTGGAATAAAGCAAATTATTAATATTAAAAAACATCACATACATTACCTAATATCATCGTCGGTAAGGAGGTCTTTTCGAATCATCAATGAATTTTTACATAGTTATCTGATCTATCAAACAATTTTTGAAGGAAGCAGAATCAGAAAGATCATACTTCAACATTTAATGATATGAAATGTTGTTAGCTAGTCGGAAGATATATACATTACGTAATCAAAAAGATTATGTGTAATTTCTATCATAAACTGAAATAAACACACAGCATCTTGAGCACTGAATTATGAAACAAACAAACAAATGCTGATAACCGAATTTGTAATCGGAAAATAAGTTAAAATAATGTCCCTTTATGTATATCACAATAAATTTCAGGCTTAACTTGAAATAACGATAAAGCTGGCATTCCTTCTCTGTTGTTGATATTTTGTGTTTATCGGTAGTATTTGTAGAAAAAAAATCCGCTAAACAGTTTTCTTCTCGCCCATCAATTTCATTTCTTTACATTCAGAAGTAGGCTCTTACTTGATTATTACTACTATTATTATTACTTGATTTTAATTTAAACAAAAATTAGTTCAAGCCTCTTGGATATAGTTTTTGTCACCTACGGTGGTGAACATTTCTTAAGAACCTATACGTCTTAGTTTTCCAGTTTATGATGACCTTTTAAGTGGTGTTACACTATCTACACTACCCACTACTAAACTATGTGTCATACATCTTACAAATAATTTCGCTCTATTCTCGCCATTATCTAATGATAATGTTTCAAAGAGAAAAAAATATGAAACAATTGCTAAGTAATTTGAAACTTGTATGTGTGTTAATAATTTTTTAAAACACTGGATCTCCTACTAAACAATACTAGCAAAACTTTTGAAAGTTGAACTGTTTGTCTTTTACATGACAAGGATGGATAATCAACATGCTCTGATTCTTAGCACAGTGCTTTGCAAATAAACAGTTTGTAATAATTATTTGTCATACTTTTATTACTATTATTAGTATTATTTCCTTAGGTTCCGAGTGAAATATAGGTTTTCAATAACACATCTCGCCTTTGTTCCATTTTCTGCTATCATTTCCAGCTGGGTACACGATTCTCCACAGTCTATCATATCCTTCTCGCCATATGATCTCCTCTATGTCAACCTCGCACTGGAGATCCACTTGTCGCTTACCTTTAGGATTCCACCCGAGCGATGGCTTGGTGCGTGATGTCACATTTGATGGTCTCCTCAGCGTATTCCCAATCCATCTGCATTTTCTTCCGCATATTTGTTGAGCAATCGGCTCTTGGTTGGTTTGTTCCCAGCCAGAGTTTCTTGCAGCTATTTCTTTCTGGCCATCTGATCTTCTGTATGGAGAGAAGGCAACTGTTGACAAAAGTCTGTAACCTGTTGGAAATGCTTTTCATAACGCGCTGGCCAAGTTTCTGACCCTTATAAAAGCACCTACTGACTTCACATTTGTGTTGAAACTCCTAATCTTGTTGTTTATGCTGAGTGCAGCAGATTTCCAAACTGACTTCAGATTAATTAAGGTGTATCTCGCCTTTCCGATTCTGGCTTTGAAATCTTGCTGTATTTAAGAGATTATTATTTTCTTTTTATTTCTTTGAGTTCCAAATGTAGGATAGAGTATCAGTTCTAACCTTTGAATTCTAAGCAGCAGTGGTGTTATTTTTTTCAAAGGTGGGTTTGCTAAACTCACTACAATTACTACCAGCCAGGAGAGGTTAAGAGGATCGAACACCAGGTCAAGTAGGCGGTTGGAAATTATTCTACGGCTGCACCACCGACGTGCGTACTCAAGGAATACGTCGTGTTATTAACTGGAAATAGTCATATAATCGATTTCCTAACGAATCATCCAGTTGAATTTCGAAATCTTTAAATATAAACTGTAAACATTTTAAAATGAATTTTTTTCCATTATTGGTTTTGTAGGGATTTTTGTTTGATTGCATGGAATATTTCATCATGAGCTGACATCAGTTAGAGAACCACTGGAAAACCTGGGAGTACTGGACAGCTGTTTCGTCCCTGTTTGTGACCCTTCAGCAGTACGCTCCATGTCGTGAACTGGAAGAAGTTAGAATCCAAGGAATCAATGGTCTACGAGCTCACCTTGTAACCAGAAGGTCCTGGGATCGAATTCCGGTGGGTGCGTACCGACGAAGAGTCCAAAACTAGGACGAAACAGCTGTCCAGTACTCCCAGGTTTTCCAATGGTTCTCTAACTGATGTCAGCTCATGATGAAATCCTCCATGCAATTTTTTCCCTCTAAACTATATGAAGTGATCACTAATATTATTGTCCTGATATATAATCTCTAAATTATGTTTCAGTGTTTTACTATCCGACCGACATTTCAGGTTTAACTCACTATAATTAAAGTTCCTTCCTAACTCATAATTTTGCTTCCATTTCAGTCAATATTCAACTCTACATTTGCGTTAGTTAAGTGAATCTGTGTTAAACACCTATACATAGTTTCATTGATAATCGGATTAGTTTAGGAATGAAGTAATCCTAGAATAGTGACAGAAAATAGAATCTTCTTTTCTGTCCAATCTCAACAGATAAATATTTCTCCTAATTTCTTTTTTTTTTGAAAACTTTCCTTTAAACGTACAAATGCAGATTTCATATGTACCATATAGTTGTGTCCAGCCAGAGAAACCATTCAAACCATTAGTGAATATAGCACCAACTGGTCCATTCAATGATCAAACAAACTATCGTACAGAATATGTGCCAAAGGTTATCTGTCCATGTTGTCCAGCACAATTTTTAAATCAAGAACAAATTAGTCCAGATGGATATCAATTTAATGTGAGTTATATAATGTTCTGTTGTAGTTTATTGACTAACTACTTCATTATTTGTTTGATGATGGGTAGCAATCGAATCCAGGATGTGTTTTTTCATTCTATTTGTGATTTTCAAAAGAATGGATAATGAACAAAGAGTACTCTTTTCGATAAATTCATCATCAGGCTCTACAATTATATATACATTATAGTTAATGAATGAATTAGTGTTATGAATGACATTAATGTTTAAATAACATCAAATCAATAATATTGATAGATTACAGCTGAATCGATATTCATTTGTGATTTGTCAACGGGATGAATGCATGCACATCTCCAATGATTGGTGTGGTTTCCATTGAGACTTGAACCTGGTAGTTATACTTTCAAACGCCTGAGTGAGTATATCCAAATTATGCGTCCCATAGGGAAATAAATACAGCTGAAATTACAAGACATGATTCTAAATCATTCGAGCACATAAGTAAATGAGTGAAATAGAATTCAGACACATTCTAATATTTTTAAATTGTGTAGCAGCATGTTCTGTACAGTCAATCCAAATAGTCTCATCATTATTTGAATTCTACTTAGAAACTGAACCGACAGTCTTAGACTTCATGTCAAACTACGCGCTTTAAATTTAAAGTATTCAGTTAAAACTAATGCTGTTTTCTAAAGGTAATGTCTTAGATTATAATAAATCAGTGGAGACTAAGATGCACTTTGATCTTTTAAATTAATCGTTTCTTTATCTTCTCTAATTTTCAGAGTTACGATGAACGTGGTCATCAGTTGTATCATCAAGTTGGCAGAGGTAAAGTTACCTTGCCACCATTACCAGTGAAATAAAGTTGAAGCACGGTTCATAATATATGATAAAAGAAATTTGGAGCAAAAAGTGAAAATCTTTATGTTTTTAACATATTTCTACCAGCGCTTGATGGTTTTATCTTCAAACTACATTAGTAGTGTAATACATAATCACGAAAAAAAGGTTTGCAACACACAGTACTTGCAAAATCCGTACACAAGTTATTATTATTACTTTCAAAAGTAATAAAATTTACTTATCTCTATCTACATTCAAGCTGAATAATCTCATCTGCCTGACTACACAACTTGTGAGAATTTCACTCAACCTATCTTGCTTAAAATTCCATGCACCACCAAACATCTCAACAAACGAAACAACATCTGTTGTGCACAAACTCTTAGTCATTTGAATAATCACTGGTGATCAATATACTACACCTGTGAATTAAAATTCCATAATTTCAACAGATTTATGTACATCTAGGACGTACAACAAACATCAATATAACTTCTACTTCCCAGCTAACAACCATCACTACTGAAACCATTATATTCAGTAAAATTTTAATTCATTCATGTGTTATAACGACTATAATATATCTGCTAAAAATTTTCAGTAAAGTTGACTGAAATTTCGCCTTCTGTTTTGTCATTTTATTTTACTAATTAATCTAGTACATTGATCATGAGTGACTGGTAATTGGATGATTTTTATTACTCAAAGTATCTGAGCAAGCATTTGTAGCGGTACGTAACTACCCAAAATTATTAGCCACAGAATTCATCAATGAACAGAGGATGCTGACCCTCACTGTTTAAGTCAACTTGTATAGCTGAAGGCAAATGGTCAAGCATCCACACCATTTAGCGCGCCGTCGTGTTACATTCGTTTGTTCGTGCACGATCCCTAACTAATTAAGCAATCAACCTCGCACCACGATTTGGTCCGGAAATATACTTCGTAATTTGGACGATCAGTTTTGGTGTTCCGCTTTGCCTTTGGCCTACGCGGGACGAATGCCGTAGAAGTTGTGGATATTGGATCTTGCGTTAGTAGACTTCGAATTATCCGTTAACGTCAACATCTTTAGCCTCTGAAGTAGTGACGTCTGTGATTGTGGCACTGTGTAACATGGGTTCAAATCTTAGAGGGGACAAGAGCTCCTTCAGGGCTGAAAATACAGCTGGCTGAGAAGTTCTGACAAGCACGAAACCTAGCTCTATCGCCTCATGCCGCCTGCTTTCAAACATCTAGCAACAATTTAGAGTGCGATGTGACGGTTAGCCACCTAGAATTTTAGCACGTTTTAAGCCTGACTGGTAGCATTCAGTTTGCGCAATTCAAGGGACTAAACGGGTGGCATTAGTTAATTAATACCCAATGTTCAATCAAAAAATCTGTCATCAGACCTCCCTCATTATGTCAATCACTCTACTCATGACAGTCTTAGATCATTTTCTGGCAAATTCACCACACTTCACCTCAACCGGAATTTCGTTATGCAGTAACAAACTTACCAAAGCATTGGGAGACAAGAAGTGTCGAAATCTCTATTTATTTGCTATAAAGCAGGAGAAAACGCAATGGTGGTTGTGTAGTACCCCTGTACCAACTATAAACATACGTTTTTAATCTAATTTGCATACTCATATTATATGTTTACACATACCGATTTTATATGTACTTCGTAAACATTTGCCAATTTACTGTTGAACGTTACCTTGATACTTTTTCGAAATTTGACTACGGCTATAATACACGATTATACTCTTCACAAGTGCCTTCTGATTTTACGTTGTGGGCGTCGAGTAGCCACAACGTCTGCGCACATTGATAAACGTGAAGAAGTACTAGGAAATACGTGTACGCTCATTTAGTCAAATAGAACACGCAATAAATTGGTGAGCCCCGACGATAACTTGCTGATCCCGACGACAAATTGCTGACTCCGACGACGACTTTTGACCTCGACGCGTTGTTACACTTACTGGATTATTAAAACTCTAACTTTCGCGGATTTATATATTTATTAAACAATTCGAACTCATTTTTGTGTTTGCTCATAGCACAACCTGCAGTAATTTGTGGTAAGCACCTGCATTGCATTTTTTCTGTTTTGCCATATTCTTATTGTGCACAAATTTTGCCATTTTCCTACTCTTAAACCATTTTTTTACGAATTGTAACATGTCTTCCAATACCTCTGATAACTTAGAGCTGGGATCTGTTAGTACTATTTCTCTTACTGTACCAGTTTTTAAGCCCAGAGACCCTCATCTTTGGTTTGCACGACTGGAACATTATATGGCTAGCAATAAGCTCACGTCACAGACAGCTAAATTTGGCATTTTGAGTACAGTACTACCAGACGAAGTCGCCGAGCAGGTACGGCAATACATCGTTCAACCCAGCACGGAAGCACCTTACGACAAGTTGAAGGAAGAGGTACTGCGATGCACTTCGCTTTCAGATAGGCAAGCACTCGATCGCCTGTTAAGCAATGTTGAGTTAGGGGATAAAACCCCATCGCAACTCATGAGGCATATGCAAAGCCTAGTTGCCGGAAGAGAAATCGACAAACGTCTCTTTTATCAAATCTGGCTGCGACGACTTCCCGCAAACATCCAGCAGGTTCTTGCTTTCGGAGATGACGACATTGACATAGAAAGGCTCACCGAAATCGCGGATCGCATGTACGAGAGGTCAACACCTCAATCTGTCGCTTCCACCAGCAGAATACCAGACACTCACGATAGAATACAGACTCTAGAACACAAAGTCGACACCTTACTGAGTCAGTTAGCAAAACTGACTACACGCACACAACCAAGCCGTTCTAGAAGCTCGTCTCGTCGACGTCTTTCTCGATCCCCTAGCACGTCACTACATCGCGATAATATTTGCTGGTATCACCGTAGTTATGGAAGCAAAGCACGACGGTGCCGTTCACCTTGCAATTTTCAGACTAAACCAAAAGATATATCGTCATGTGTAAAAAATACTGTTGGCAACCTACGATCTAACAGTCGTTTGTTTTATGTAACAGATAAAAATACCGGTACTACATTCTTAGTTGACACAGGAGCAGAGGTGAGTGTTCTCCCTCCGTCTACACAGGAACGTCAACATCCTGACCCAGCAGTTACGCTCCAAGCTGTTAATCAGTCCAGTATTGTTACATATGGAACTAAACGAATGACTTTAGATTTTGGTTTAAAGAATACCTACACTTGGTCTTTCATCATTGCAGACGTCCCATCCCCAATCCTCGGTATTGATTTTCTGCAGCAACACAAACTGTTAGTTGATCCGATAAGCCCCAAGCTAATAGATTCGCTCAATAAAACGTACATTGCTGGTACGATTAGCCGTGCATCATCACTGAACTTGATGGTCACACGCACACCAGCATCTCCATATACCAATTTGGTAAATCAGTTTCCTGACCTTTTAAAACCTTCTTTTCGAGGAACAGAACCGAAGCATCATGTGGTTCATCATATTAAAACCACTGGACCACCAGTTTTTGCACGTCCACGACGCCTTGACCCATATCGACTTAAAATTGCCAAAACAGAGTTCGATAAAATGCTAGAGCTTGGTATTATTCGACCGTCCAACAGCTCTTGGTCTTCACCGCTTCACATGGTACCCAAAAAGTCTTCTGGTGAAATACGGCCGTGTGGTGATTATCGAGCTTTAAACAAGCAAACGGTACCTGATAGATACCCAATACCACACATCCACGATTTTGCTAGCAACTTACCAAATGTTAAAGTTTTCTCTAAAATCGATCTGGTCCGAGCGTATCATCATATCCCCATCCACCCGGATGACGTTCCGAAAACTGCCATTACCACACCATTCGGTTTATACGAATTCGTACGCATGCCCTTCGGACTGATGAACGCAGCTCAGACATTCCAACGCCTAATTGACCAAGTACTCCGTGGTCTCCCTTTCGTCTACGCATACATCGATGACTTACTAATCGCAAGTGCAGACGAAGCCGAGCATTTGAAACATGTGAAGACAGTGTTTGAAAGACTGAACCAATACGGAATGACTATCAACTTAGACAAATGCGAATTTGGTAAGACCTCCCTGAAATTTCTCGGTCATTTAATCGATAGCCAAGGAATCAGACCAGTCCCTGATGACGTACAAGCTATCAAAGATTATCCATTACCAGATTCTTTTAAGAAATTACGACGATTTTTGGGTCTCGTTAATTTTTACCGGCGTTTTATTCCCAACTGTGCTAAAGCTTTACAACCATTAACCGATTGCTTACGTGGACACAGTCGTTCATTCCATTTGCCCGCAGAAGCTGTTAAAGCATTCGAAAATGTCAAACAATTGTTAAATGACAAGACACTCTTGGTCAGACGTCAAAATGACGCTCCTCTGTCTCTCATGACAGACGCTTCAGACGTTGCCATCGGGGCAGTTTTACAACAGCAAGTACACGGCGAATGGCAACCCCTAGCATTCTTTTCGAAACGACTGAATCCTACTCAATGTCGCTATAGCACTTTTGGTAGAGAGTTATTGGCTGTTTATTTAGCAATCAAACACTTTCGACATATGCTGGAAGGTACAGCTTTTACTGTCTTTACAGACCATAAAGCTCTAACGAAAGCCTTATCAGCAAAACAGGATAACTACTCTCCGCGTGAACTACGACATCTCGAGTTTATATCTCAGTTCACCTCCGATCTGCGACACGTAAAGGGTAAAAACAATGAAGTGGCAGACGCTTTATCACGTGTGCACATTGACAACATTGTATGCCCAGACATCGACTACGAACGTCTCTCAAACCTACAACGAGATGATGCCGAGCTAAAAAAGATCATGTCTTCTAAAACAACATCTTTGAAGCTAGACGCAATTCCTTTTGGCACGACAAAAATAATCTGCGACACCTCTACAGGTAAATATCGACCCTTCGTTCCAGCAGCTATGAGACATACAGTATTCGAGAAGTTACATAACTTGTCTCATCCCGGTGTCAGCGCTACTATCAAACTAATA